ATTTGTCAAGTTTGCTCGTAGCATGACTTCATTCAGGGTCGATCCATTATAAAGCCAGTGTATTTAGCATCTAGCTGTTAACTTGAGCTAGTCTGCTGTCTCAGAGTGCTTTCGTCAAAGAAAAGCCTACATTTAGTTTAATCTGTCTTAAAACATGCATATTATGTGCAATTGGAGCAGCCATTAGTTCCTGGTATCTCTGTACACTGGCCTTTAAAGAGATTTATCCTGGTGCTGTTTCTGTGTAAAAATCTAAAGATTAGCTAAGCTTAACGGTTTTCAAGTCTGAGTTAAACAAGTTAAAGTTTCCCACAGTTAGTTTTGTGGACTCTTTCTTTCCTATGACATCTTATTTATGTACACATTTGGAACAGAGTACAAAAATAGGACAGGAAAAGTGAATTTTATTTAAAAAATGTAAACAGATCTAGCAATTGTGAAAAATATCAGTTGTACAACTCCTGAAAAAGTTCTGATTTATTCAAAATATAATTACAAGCCACTGAAAACACTAACACAAGGCAACATGATTAAAAAACAACATCAGTTTGTTTATACAACACAACGTTACACATTTGTATGTCAGTCTGATCCAAAACCCATCTCATTTAAGCAAAATGTCAGCAGTAAAATTTATTTTCGGAAAAACAAATAAAAAAAAACAATCTTATGTAAAAATACTGAAGATACTACAAATAAAAAGTCCTACATGATTTCAGTTTCTAGTATTTTACACAGAGAGGTGTATAACTTCACAAAATAGCTTTTTAAAATATGAATGTATATCTGTTTAACAGTCATATTCTACAGGTACTGTCGCTGTCTGTTTACTTGTTATTTCTATATGTATTAATACTCCTAATACATTTGAAACGGCAATACAAATAAACTGCCTAGTCATCCTACTAGCTAGTTAGCTTAGCCAGTTAGCTTAGCTAGCTAACGGTAGTTTCTGCTAACTGAGCTAACTGCTGTTTCACTGATCTGAGGACAAAAAGTCCTGTGTGTGTGTGTGTGTGTGTGTGTGTCCTAGCATTACTATACTTGTGGGAACCTACATCTGTTTACACAGTCACGTGTGGGGACTCGCCTCCCTTATGGGGACAAAATGGAGGTCCCCATAAGGGGAATCATTAATTTTAGGGTGAAGACTTGGTTAGGGTTAGGGTTAGGCATGTGTTGGTTATGGTTAAGGTTAGGATAAGTCTCCAGGAAATGCATGTAAGTCAATGTAATGTCCCCTGAAGTGATGTATACATGGTATGTGTGTGTGTGTGTGTGTGTGTGTGTGTGTGTGTTTGTTTGTTTTAAGTACCCTTCATCATACCAATGCTGCGCACAATTCATTTTATTATATATTTTTTTTACGGGTATATATATATCTATATTTCATGTAAATATTGCTGTATTTTAATGTTATAATATTTTTTGTTAAATCGTTTTTTTTAACCTTGTTTTATTTTATGGTCCTTTTCTTACAATTGATCTTCTTTGACTGTGTTTATGTGTGCACCAAATACACCAAGGTGACTTCCTAATATCTCTTAACCTACTTGGTAATACAACGATTCTGATTCTGATCATTGGAGGTGCTAAGAGGAAGAGGAAGAAGAGGAGAAGGAGAAAGGAGAGAAGGGCAGGACGGAGGAAGGAGCTTCAGAGGAGGTGAGGAGATGATCTTCCAGGTTTATTTCAACAAACGGGTCACTGGAGCAAACCGCTAAAGAAACAAGAAGGAAACAAAAAGATTTTACATTTAACTTTCCCAAAATATTCATTCAAAGTAAATAGCAGAATCCACTTTGTATATCTAAAGGAGAAAATGTAGCTAACTTCTTCATCTGACTTCTTTAGCTAGTAGGCTATTAGCATACTTTACTATATCCTTCAGTAAAAATACTACAAGTAAAAGTCCTGCTTTCATCTTTAAGTACAGAAATATTCACAGCAAAATGAACCTAAGATCAATACGTATAACTATGAGTTTTAGATTTAATTTAGCTATATATATTTCCCTAAAATATTTAGCAGAATACACCAATTGTACATTTCTTGCTAAGCGTTTAAAGCCTATTAGCTTACTGATTTATTTGTTAGCCACTATTATCTTTTAGCAATGTTGTTCAGTAAAAAAAGCCCTGCATTTAGGATCTTATCTTAGTAAAAAGTACACAAATTTGACAGCAAAATGTACTTAAGAAAGTACCATATACTAGAATTATTGTATTTGTACATTCATTTATTTTGCCCTTTGTAAAATGTAAGATCAAGACCAAGTATAACTTTCAGATTTCCAATTTAACATAGCTATATTTTCCCAAATATATTAAATCAAAGATGTTTAGCTAAATACCCTTTTGTACCTTTCATGGTTAAAGTAAAAGGCTTATTATTTAAGTACAGTTATTGTATTTGTACATTTAATTCTGCCCTCAGTTGATCAACAAATTCCAAAAAGTGACACAATGAGCAGCAATTTGATCATTTTGTGATGTTTACAATTAGCATTAGTTTAATTTCCGTATACAAATAGTGATCTCTTTCAAGCCAAATATCCTTGTTTAAGACCTCTTAATAATGCTTTTAGAAGAGAGTGTGCACCAGATCATAGTATTCATTTATTGCACTTTACCATTTCCCAGACTATCTTTTACATCCGTAAATCTGTGCCCCTTTTGCACATATGGAATTTTGGATTTGTAGTTTGTGTTTGCATATTTATAAAGTATCTTACAAGGGTTGTTGTTGTTTTCGTTCTGCTGCTCCTCCCCTATAGTGTCAGAAGATGCTGGTGCTTCCCGATGGACTGGAGGTCTTTTCCGCTGGGTCTCCGATCAGCGACAGCCCACTGTACCCATAGAGTCCAGTAGAGGGCGGAGCCTGTGTGAGATAGAACGATAGGTTACGTATTGTAACGCTAGTTCTATAAGCACAGGCGGAGCCCTCTACCTAGGAGGCGTGTGGCGCAGTGGGTTGTGCATTGGTGTTCGAATCAGGGGGTCACAGGTTCAAACCCCTTTGGATAAAAGCGTCTAACAAGTGACATGTAATGTAGGGGCTCTGTCTTTCCTATGCCGCTCGCTGAAGAGGGTGTAGGATGACAGTCAGGAGGTGTAGCTGCTTTATATACTGTGAGGCCTGCACTCACATTCAGATAGGCTCGCCCTGATTGGCTGGCTACAATTATGCAAATTCAGTGTGTGAACGCTCACGTATCATTGATGAAGAGTAGTCCCCATAGAGTCCAGTAGAGGGCTTCCGCCTGTGCTTATAGAACTAGGGTTACAATACGTAACCTATCGTTTTGTTGAATAGGACTACAGAAGTTGTCAAGGACGTTGTACGTCATTACGCCGAACAGGTAAACACTCCCGCTAAGTTTGTTTGCCCTGTTCTGCTTGAAAGCAGGTACCTGCCTCCTGCAAACTGTTAAAACAAACGCTTCAACTCGTACCATTTTGAATCTGTATGTTTGTATATGGATCTTAAGTTGGCGGGACGTTGAAGTCGTGCTGCTGTACTCGGCTGTAGTTCCTTTATAGCATAACGTTAGCATTTTGCTTCTGGCGATTAGATTTATGATTATAAAATTATAAAAGTAGGGTAGACGTGTGGAGATTATCCGGCTGAACAAAACGTTCATTTATCAAACAGGTTCGTTTTCCACAGACCTTATTTCGAGCTCTTTTCCAAAATCCTATGGAGAAATCCCATCGCTTTTTTGTCAAGGGAACCAGCAGCTTACTTCAGGGTGAATACGTCATCCCTGCACCGCTCTATTCAAGGCAGCTGCAGTGTTCATGAAGCAGAGAGACATGAGGATGAACAATAGTGTTAAAGAATAAACACTTTTATTATAACAGAAAGGAATAAAACATTTTCAACATTTACAAGTCGATCCAATTTAACATTTCCAAATATTTCCTCCTGTAGGACATGCAGTGCAGATTGTGCAGAATAACTAAAAAAGTAAATAAAAAGTGATTTATTTATAATGTGTAACATTTATAAAAGCACATTAAGTGCAGCATGGTAACAATATCCATCAGTAAACAAAGGGTTTGATGACCTTACAGCTGAATGATAAAACTCTCAGTGAAGGCTGAAATAAATAAATAACAAATACACTTTACAGAGGTTACACTGCTCTTTTCTGACTCTTAAATCAGATGTTGGAGAGTCTCACTTTATGCTCAGATTCAGACAGAGATATGTAAGTCCGGATGGTTTGTTTCTCTGATAAACTCCCCGTATGCATGGCTGCATTGTGGGTTCTTCTCTTATATCTTATTAAAACAATGCAGGCCATGCTGACAAAGAGAACCAGAACAGCTGCTGACACTCCAACGATAAGCCCGAGTCTTCTCAGACTCTCTGGTTGTGGACTCTCTGGTGGTCTCTGAGGTTGGAGCTCTTCAGCAGCTGTGGAAAAGGACAGAATATAACATGAGGAACCATTTTAGTGTTAATATATAACAGGTTTAATCTAAAGTGAAAACATGACAATCTGCAACCTCCATTCTTCTGAAAAACCTCCTGTGGTTCCAGCTTCTCAGTTTCCCCTTTTCCACTAAAATGAGTTCTGTGTGGGGCTGGTTTGGATCACAGTTGGTTTGTGAGAAGAGTTTTATTTTAAAATGAGTTGTGCACATTTTAAACAGTTAAAACAAGCCGTTCTTGAGATTTGAGCAGCAGGACTCTTTTGGTCTTTCATTCATACTTTGTTGAGTATCTGCTATTTCCTTTTCAAAATGTTAACTGTTCAATTCTTGGCGAATATGATCCAATATTAGCGACAACATACTTGACGTAGATGCATTAGTATTTAGCTCTCTGGAGCCTCTAGACTTCTACTGAGTTTACTCACCAGTGACGTTGAGCCAGCAATTCCTAGAGTTACTCCCATCAGATGTGTGTATGTCACACACATAAAACCCAGAGTCATTGGTCCTGAGTCTGGAGACATGAAATGTGAGGCGTCCTTCTGTGAGGACGTCTTTGTCCCACTTGAGTCGTACTGTAAACTCTGGATCCTGAGACACTCTGGTTTCAACACCTTCACGTAGTTCAAACAGAACTGAGATTCGCTTTTTATTAAACAGGTGACAGATGGTATTAATGGAGCTGAAGTTAGTGTCTGTTCTGGTGCTGAAGGTCCACTCCAGGGTGATGTTCTGGTTCTCCTCTGCCTGATAGAAAGTCTGAGTCACATTCACTACAAATGTTCCTGTGGAGGAGACAAAGAGGGACTCTTTAAACTGCAGCTATGTTTCTGTGGAGGAGACACAGAGGGACTCTTTAAACTGCAGCTATGTTCCTGTGGAGGAGATACAGAGAGACTCTTTGAACTGCAGATGTTTCTGTGCTGCTTTACTGAGGACAGTTTGAAAGAGACAAACTAACCAGAGACACAGGAGGTGAGGAAGAGGAGCTGCAGGATGAGGAAGATCATCTTCTTCCTGTGAGAGGACACACACATCAAATGTCACACATTAGAAAACATACAGTCTGTCTTTACCACATGCCTTATTAGGACTGACACCAGGAACAGTAACATATGTCTGACACTAGGTGGCGCCAAATATCAACATTATATTTTATTTGAACTGAACCAGGAGATATTTCTGCTTTGAGATCAGTGAACACAGCCGGCAGCTTTTGCATTAATGCAGAGTATAATAATATATTTTGTAGTATTGCTGTGTGTGAGAGAGCTTTGTTCTGTCTCTACTTTCTGCACTATGATAACATTTCATACATATCATGTTTTTCTGTATCAAAAATGCCCGTGAATGTTAAAACTCATGACCAGTTACAATATAAACACTAACTCTCTTGTTTAACAGCCATGTTGTCACTGTTCCTCTTGACTGTGTAAGGCGTAAATAAAGTGGCAAACCAAGTCCAGTCTGCAGTATAGCTTCATATCATCTAAAAAAAAAAAAAATGAAATGGCATGTCTTTTTTGTAAACCTCTTGTATAGGAGAACATGTATAGGATCAGGAGGGGACATTGACAGAGGATTACAAAAAAAACACAGTAAAAGTACTTCATTGTATTGTTGGCACTAGGCGTACTACTACTACTACTAGTCCAGCATTATCAATTTCATTAAGAACTAATGGTTCATTTTATTTGTATCATTCATCAAAGACAGCAGTAAACATGCATTATGTACTATGATGGGGACTTTGACAGAGGATTACTCAGAAAGTACACAGTAAGTACTTCATTTTATTTCTGGGAGCAGTCAAACTAGTACCGAGTCCAACAGTGTCAGTTTTATCAAGAACTTATAGTAACACATATTTGTATCACTCATCAAATATACCAGGGGGAAAAAAACGAAGTTGACCGCAGTCCAGAATCGCTGTATAGATTAAATCTCCTAACAATGTTGTCCATTTTAGACATAGGCTTATTATATTTACAGCCCGCCCCTTAATCATTGGTAGGCAGATATCAAAGAGTGGGTGGGCCCAAAACAAATCAGGTGGGCCCAGCCCGTTCAAGACCACACATACTTAATATGTCCTAAAATGTATGTTAACTGAAATAAGCCAGTCAGAATGGACCTCCTTGAGTTCTCCGATTGGTTGGTTTTGTGGCACATTTGTAACCCTGTGCCAACTTGAGCGAGCACACAGGCAAACCTGAGCGCGGGTGAGGTTGAGCGAGGGAGAGAGAGCGCGTGCAGCGGTCTGCTTGCTTGCTGCTTGTGAGAAGGCTTAAGAGTCAATTGTGCTTGCAAAAAATATTTTTCTGTGCTCAACAATGTTAAATTGCGCGCTGTAGTGATCACTGATTCATACACTGGGGTTACATAATCCAATCATGGAACTACAGGTTGGGGGTACTGTTTCCACACGGACACATATGTTGTTGGTACTTACTGCATGCCCTCCCTTTCGCTTTCTCCCTTCTCTTCCCGGACTGCAACCGGACAACATGTGCATTTCTGCTGCTCAATAAAGCCAGCTTTGTACCTTCATTGCACCGCCTCCGACTCCCTATCTCTCGGCACTACAGCGCTCAATAACATTTTATATGCTCAAAATGTTGAATTGCGTGCTCAGGATAGAGGCACACAAATATTGCCATAGAGGAGAGCACCTCCACGAGTGATGGGATGGGAAGGTTATGCTGTCGGCTGTGCGTGGTGATGAAAAGCTGGTTCGAGGGGCCCCCAGTGAATGTTTGCCTAGGGCCCCCACAGACTCTAGAATCGGCACTGGTTAAGGATGTCGTGTTTTTTCATCAAATCATCTGTCAGTGTCACAAGTTTAATGAAGTCAGCTTCTGTTTTCCTTAAGACCCTCGATTAGATCGATGCAATCTGTGACTGTTATAGTGGAACATTGCAGGCCTTGTGTTGCATAGTCGCTCATTTCAAACAGCGTGTTGAACATGACGAGAATAAACACAAATGTAGTTGTGATGAGTAAAGAAGCAGCAATTTGCAGTATCTCATTCTGGATATCGGGGCTTTTACATTTCCCGTTCCCCGGCAGGTCGTCCAGTCGCCGTTTTATTTCTGGGTCATAGTGAGAGAATCTATCGATTAGATTTATGATTCGAACATTATAAAAGTAGGGTAGACATGTGGATATTATCCGGCTGAACAAAACGTGCATTTATCAAGCAGGTTCGTTTTCCACAGACCTTATTTCGAGCTCTTTTCCAAAATCCTATGGAGAAATCTCAGGCCCACCCACAGCTACGCGTATATGCCCTTAATAACATTATTTTTCTTGGCTCAATGTGTGTTTTGGTCGTTTTCGTTGTGATCGCTAAATCCACCTTGTTTCCCCTGGTTTATAATATTATCACCTGATAAGCCTACTGTAGTGATTCAATGCAAGTTTATTTAAGCAAACGAGTGCTTTTGTTTTGATATCACTTCCGTGAGTTTCGCCCCCCCCCCCCCCCCGCTCCAATGACCATTTCACTATTTAGTAAGTTAAAAAGCAAAAAGTTAAAAAGCGTCTCAGTCGCTCTTCCGTTTACTGATTTAATGAAGAAAAACAAATGGTCCGAAGATACACGGATTGTTTCTGAGTCAATATCTTTCCAACTCGTTCTCTTATTTTAGTTGAATGTGGTGCATGTTCTCTATAAGAGGTTCAACAGGAGAGAAACATAAATCAGCAGTGAGATGCATTTCCTTAATAAAGTATAAACATGTGTTCACTTCTTACCTGTAAAGCTTTGAGACTGCGGAGACCTCAGTGCTTACAGTTCCGTTTTCTAGATTATATCATGGATGAACAACATGAGTATTTCACAACTAAAGTTACAGTCAGATGAGCTCAGTGGTACACAAGTTGAAGAAACATGGCTTGGTTTCAAAAACAAATTCTCTGCAATACTCAATGATTTGGCCCCCCTAAGAACAACCAGGGTAAAAAATCGCGCTGAGCCGTGGATGCACTCCGGCATACTGACCGCCATGAAAACCAGAGACAAAAAATGCTCTGAGTTTCATAAAAGTCAGTCAATGCTTTCCAAAAGCACGAGCAGTGAACTCCAGGCCCACGTGACTGAACTAAAAATTGAAAGAAACAGACTAAGAAATGACGTAAGCTCCATGATCAAAACTGCCAAAAAGAATTTCATCAATGACAAAACTGAGGAAAACAAAAATAAACCCCGTGAACTTTGGAAATTACTCAATAACCAGCTTGGCTGCAGTAAAAAACTCAAAACGAGATTTTCAAACTTAAACATAAAGACAGATAACAGGCTCATCACAGACAAACTGGATGTGGCCAAGTACTTGAACATTTTTTTCACAAACATAGCCACAACTCTTGTAAATAAATTACCCTCCCACTCAGGGCTTTTTGGAGTAGATCACATCATGACCTACTACAAAAACCTAGGGGTACGCAAAGATGATTTCAGTCTAGCAAGGGTAACAACAGCAGAGGTACTCATTAAACTGAGCGCCCTCAAACCTAACAAGGCCACTGGCCACGACAATATCCCCTCCAAATTCCTCAGAGACACAGCAACCGCCATCTCACCAGTCATAGCTCACATAATTAACCTCTCCATAAAACAGGGAAAAGTACCCAAAGACTTCAAAATTGCAAGAGTAACCCCCCTGCACAAAAAGGGCAGCAAATTGGACCCAGGCAACTACCGCCCTGTTTCTATACTTACCTCCATCTCGAAAGTCATGGAAAAAATAGTATATGAACAGGTCGAAAAGTACCTCGCAGAAAAGAAACTAATCTATGAATTTCAATCTGGCTTTAGAACATCCCACTCCACTGACACATGCCTTCTTTATTTGAACGACCACATCAAACAAGAGGTGGACGAGGGTAAATACTGCGGCATGGTGATGCTGGACCTACAAAAGGCTTTCGACACTGTCAATCACCCCATTCTGATTGACAAGCTAAAAGCAATTGGTTTTGATAAACTATCGGTGAGCTGGATGCAATCCTACCTGGAGGGGAGAGAACAGATGGTGGAGGTAAACGGTACTCTGTCCCCCCCCCCTCCCAGTGAGCTGTGGTGTTCCACAAGGAAGCATATTAGGTCCGTTACTGTTCCTAATTTATGCAAATGACATGTCATCAGCATGTGACTGCAACTTGTTCCTGTTCGCGGACGACTCAGCCCTGCTGGTCTCTGACAGGAGCAGATTGCAGGTTGAAAAAACCCTCAGCTCCGAGCTCGGCAGAATCTGCACCTGGCTCGCCGATAATAAATTATCATTACACCTGGGTAAAACAGAGTCCATTCTCTTCGGTTCGAAACATAATCTCAGCAAATCCGACGACTTCTCAGTTGCAGTGGGTGACATTATTGTCACAAGTAAGAAGGAAATTACATACCTAGGATCTATTCTTGAGGCAAACCTCTCCTGTGACAAAATGGCATCCAATGTAATAAAAAAAGTCAATCAAAGAACTAGATTCCTATACCGGATCTCCTCTCTGGTAAACAAAAACACCCTGAAAACTCTGGCAGGAGCACTCATTCAAGGGTACTATGACTATGCTTGCACGTCATGGTACCATAGCACCTCCAAGGCGCTAAAAATAAAACTTCAAACATCGCAAAATAAACTGGTCAGACTACTGCTTGACCTTTCATCTAGAACCCACCTCACCTCTGCCCACTTTGACAACCTAGGATGGCTTAGAGTAGACGACAGAGTACAGCTACTTGCAATGGGCCTGGTCTACAAGATCCACTACACCTCTATGGTACCCATGTACATGTCAAAATTCTTCCCAAAGGTCAAGGAATACCATGATCATAACACCAGAGGGAGCTCCACAAATCATGTAAAACCCAGATTTGGCACAAAAAAAGGGGAATACACATATCGCAATTATGCCACATCAAGGTGGAACGCTCTTCCCACAACTGTAAAGGAAAGTAAAACTATACTTACCTTCAAAACCTCTCTTAAAGAGCACCTTCGGGGGAAAGCATTGCAAAACTGGCCCCGGTAATGGTACAAATCTCAACCTGTCGTACAATGGACAGCTTCCCCCCCCCATCTATGTATATACTCACATTTTAGACTCTGTTACTAACTGTATATCTGTAGACTTGGTATGTCTTAAATGTCCGGTTAGGATGTATTAGAACGAAATCTAAAATGAAAATTGTAAATAAGCCATCTGTATGTAAAAAACCACCTGTATGTAAATTGTAAATAAGCCATCTGTATGTCAAATATGTCTTATATGTCTTAAATGATATGATGAATTGGAAATGGGGGACCCTGATGTAAACAAGACGAAAGTCTTTCTCTGGTCTGCATCCCCTTAACAATTGTATGTTTTGAGCTGTACTGTACTGTACCCAATATACAAGCTGTTAATAAACTTTTCAATCAATCAATCAATCAATCAATCAATCAACAGAGGGGGCGTTTCCAACTCGGCTGTCTTGTTGCAGCCAGGATTGGCAGATGGTGGTTCCTGTGGTCTGAGCAGCAGCCTATAAACGTCCTGATGTTGAAGCATGTGGTCTGCATGTTGGAGTCTCATTGGTTGGTGTGAGACCTGTCTGTCTGTTTGATAGGAAAGTCCCTTGTTAAGCATTTTTTTTTATTTATTTTTTTTTATTGAACATTTTTTTAAACATACAAAAGCTCGGTGAGGATATCATCAATTTATCAACATAAGTTCAAGACATTCATTCACAATAAGACAAAAAAACATAAATAATACATCCAGTAAGAGCCAGGGGGAAAGAAAAAAGCATAAAGGCACAAAAACATTTAAGAGGCATTAAGCTTACTTAAAATAATAACCATTTGGAAATGTCATTGCAAATCTTTATAGACAGGTTACAAGATTGTATTTTTCTAAGGGACAGAAAAAAGGACTTGAACTCATTTATGAAACAGGGACTGGCTGTTACCCACAACCTGCAATATAATTAATCAAGCAAAATTAAAGGATAACAAACTCCAGTTAAATTATTCCATATTAATAAATAATATTACATGCAAATTACATTTCCTGTAGGATGCTGAACCCACCTCTCCCCTCTGCCCCCATTGGACCTGGATCTTAACAACCCCCCCCCCCCCCCCCACACACACACACACACACACACACACACACACACACACACACACACACACACACACACACATAATATATTTATTGTTGTGCCTTTTTATTTGCTCGTATTATGATGGGATATGGTTTAATTTAGTAAATGGTTGTGCGTTGTGTGTGAAAAATGTATATCTCTAAAAAGTGTGTTGGTGTATGATCACATTTGTATATGAAAATGTCTGAAGTTAATAAATACATTCTCAGTGTTCAAGTCAATCACTGACGATGCTTACGATATCATAAAATCTAAGTGTTAATGATTGTCAGTAGAGATGGGATGGCAGAAGGTGCTATATATATATATATATAATTCCAAAGCTGGTAAAGACCTTTCAAATTTAGCAATAATAGTCATATAAGAAAAGTACTGATCTAATAACAGAGATTTGTTCTTGAATCAACTTTTTTATGGAAAATGTTGTATGTAATTGTTCATTTTAAATAAAATGAAAGACATTCACAGTTAATGTAATTAGATATACATTATTAATGCCATACATTTTTAAATGTAATTAGATATACATTATTAATGCCATACATTTTTAAATGTAATTAGATATACATTATTAATGCCATACATTTTAAATGTAATTAGATATACATTATTAATGCCATACGTTTTTGCATAAATATTTATTCAGTATGATAGCTGTCTAACAGAAGTTAAATCCATTTCTCACTTATTCTGACAATGTACTTAACCCCAAATAAAAGAACCCAATAGAAATAGTTGTTAAATAATAGTGAAGTCACGTTGTAATAACAATAACTCATCTCTCTCGGTTTTTTGAGTTTTTTTTGTGTGCTTTGCCAAAAGCCACTGTGTCAAGTGTCCTAGTTGGGTTGCCGTACGGAGTTGTCCAATATGGCGGACCATCTCGCACATGCGCAGTACCGATCGGGCAGGTGAACGGATCGGGTAGTGACGGGGTGTTTCTCAATCGCGAGTAAAGCTGCTTCAGAGCCACTATTTCAAGCATACTACGTCATCGAGTGCCGCCGAAGTACTGTTCCAATCTCCAGTATACTTGGAAATCTACCGAGCCCGGCGTACTCCGTTTGGAGAAATATCGAGTGTGCACATGAGTAGACTTCGCGGTCTTAAAATCCCCACAATGCTTTGCGCACGGACCAATTTCCCCAAATCTGTGGCGGAAGATGTAAGGCGGGGCCTCTCATATGACGCACACCTGCACACTTGCTAGCGTGTTCCACTCTTTGTTTTCCGAATGTCAGGAAGTATTCTTGACTCGCTTCTGAAGCAAGATGCTCGGCAGACATGTGCTACCAAGCAAGCGTACTCGCGATTGAGAAACACCCACAGTCACTACCCGATCTGTCCCCCTGCCCGATCTGTACTGCGCATGTGCGAGATGGTCCGCCATATTGGAATTGGACAACTACATACGGCAACTCTACTAGGACATTTGACACAGTGGCTTTTGGCAAAGCAGAAAAAGAACCGAGAGAGATTGTTGTTATTACAACGTGACTTCACTATTATTTAACAACTCTTTTTATTGGGTTCTTTTATTTGAGTTTAAATACATTGTCAGAATGAGTGAGACATGGATTTAACTTCTGTTAGACAGCTATCATACTGAATAAATATTTACTGTGAATGTATGCAAAAATGTATGGCATACAGCTGTCTAACAGAAGTTGAATCCATGTCTGACAATGTATTTAAACCCACATAAAAGAACCCAATACAAAGAGTTGTTAAATAATAGTGAAGTCACGTTGTAATAACAATAACTCATCTCTCTCTGTTATTTTTCTGCTTTGCCAAAAGCCACTGTGTCAAGTGTCCTAGTAGAGTTGCCGTATGTAGTGGCGGACCATCTCGCACATGCGCAGTGCAGATCGGGCAGGTGGACCGATCGGGTAGTGACAGCATTGTTGGGGAAATATTTTCCTGCGCCCATAATTTATCCCAGTTTATTAGGTATTACCAGGGGCGTTTCCTGGACCTGGCTTAGCCCCTAATGTTTCCACCTTTAAAAACACTTGATTTTCCAAATAAATCATAAACTATGTAAAATGATTAGAAGTTGTTAATAATTAGATTAAACAGAAAAAAAGGGTGGAAGAAGGAAACAAGTTAATTGATTACATTTTTGATTAATACGGCAAGGAGGCGGAAATTAGATAAATGGGAAATGTTCAATGTCTCTAACACAGCCGCAGGGGGGGGGGGCATGCTGACTCCCATCACTCCCTAATAATCCTATATTATATTTTATATATATTTTATCTATCTTATTTGATCAATTAAAGGGATGTATTTAAGGAGGAAACATTTAAAGAGGCCGATCCTGCTCATGTTCAGGTTGATTAGTATGTAGTGCTTCGACAAAAAGAGTCAACTCTGAGAAAAAAGTAAAATAAAATAAATAACTCAAATTATGGAAAAAAAGTCAATTTCTGGAGAAAAATGTAAAATCATGGAAAAAAAGTAAAATCATGGAAAAAAAGTAAAATCATGGAATAAAAAGTAAAATAAATTAAAAAGTAGAATTATGGGGGAAAAAGTCAAATTAATTGTGAAGTCCATAGAGGCTATTCTACTTTAGTTTTGCATGCATTTACTGTACACTTTTTTAACCCATGTGCAATTCCTCTCTTTTTCTGCTGCACCAAATTACTTTCCCTTTTCTCCACACCTCCAACATGCAATTCTTCCTCCATCCACCAGATGGCCTCAGTCTTCCTTGTATGTTCAAAATCACATGACTCCCACACTTCCCACCTGTTTCATATTTCCCATATAGCTCCTCAGTATTACTATTTACACACCTGATGGCAGACTCCAGGTGAGGCATCTCTAAAGAAAGACGCTTTTATTTGTCAAACTCGCTTGTAGCATGACTTCGTTCAGGGTCAATACATTATAAAGCCAGTGTGTTTAGCATCTAGTAGTGATGGCGAGATGAAGCCTTATGAAGCTTTGAAGCTTTCCAGCCAATTGGTTCGCAAAAGGGTTCATCTGATGAGGCTTCATCATGGGCTTCATTTGAACACAAACCCCCCTGTTGGTCAAAGTGTGTAAACAGGCACATCTCCACAGTGTGCTCTATCTCAGTGGTTCTCAACTGGTCAGGCCTCGGGACCCACTTTTTCCTTTGTCAATAGATCGCGACCCGAAATTTTGAACCACTCAAATCTATTCAACAAAAAATCGTGTTGTAATATATATACGCTTTTCAGAATACAATATTAATTAAAGTGAAGTACAGTGCATCCCTTATATCCATTCACAGAACTAAAGTATGCTTTAAAAAGGTTTAATGAGATGATGGAATCAAAGCTGAACTAACATAAAAAGGCACACATGCTGAAAACCCAACCCCAGAAGGGGGTCTGGGGGGATTCTCCCCCAGGAGATTTTTAGAAATACTAACATATAAACTATGCATTCTGGTACACACTGAGAAGAAAATAAATAAATCTATTACTACCCAACATATTAATAATATGTTATGCCATTGTTTGTTTTTCACTTTGTTCAGACAGCTGAACTTGCTGCTCCTCACAGAGAGAAGAGCAAAGAGGAGATAGTCTGTGTGAATTACTTTAAATTGTGGGTAAGGGTAGATAGCTCCCATTGTTCTGTGACCTGTCAATCATCAAACCGGGGGTCATATTTCATCATGTGTTCATTTTTATCTGAAGTTGTAGCCATGGATGTATAAAGAATAGTTCTAGTTATTCTCCGTGGGGACTTCCGGCAACAATCTTGATTCTGATTGGCCAGAAGACTCGAAAAAACATCAGCAAAGATGTTTTATCGAAACCGTTTATGGTCTCCGGTACTTCCAGTCCAACGCCTAACAGCGTTAGAAAATCGGGCCTTAAAAATAAATGTTTTTTTTTCTTTTCTTCACTCACACATCTGCGACCCACTCGAAACGGGTCCGCGACCCACCTTTGGGTTGAGACCCACCAGTTGAGAACCACTGCTCTATCTCATACCGAGTTCCCAATGAGTAAAGCCTTAGAATAACTCTAAATAACGAACATTAAATCATATGTTCATGTTAACAATATTGTTTTTATTCCAGTTTAATGATTGTGATTAAAAAGCCTAAGGAGGCTGGTAAACATTGCAAAAAGGGATTTGTATTCCTTAATAATATTCGTAAACGTAACCATGTTGTAACCTGAGAAAGGCTCAACCATATCAAAGAATACATTTATTAACTACATTATCTCATTTAGCTGTAGCTTTTATAAACAAACAAAAAATACTTATTGACGAGTCGTTGAACCAGGAACCCTGCGGTTGTGAGTCAACTGCTTTCCAGCTGAGCCACAGCACACTCGCTGAATCTATGTGAAAAAACGACATACTATTTATTCCTGTATTTATTTATTGATGTTTTTATTCCTACATTTATTTATGCTTTTATTCATTTATACTTATGACATGTTCCGACCTCTATATAAGTGAGGGTCTGAGGTCTCTTAATTCCATCGTGTCACCGGGCCCGGGTACAGGAGGGGTAATATGGTTCTTATTATACATCCATGGGTAATATGAGCGTTGTGGTTCAACGGTTCAACCGATCTGAATCGCTTCCTGAAGCAGTCACGTGGTATCGACAGGCAGCGAGGCTTCGTTTGTCATCGATGACGTCACTGGCCCAAAACGATAAAAGCCTCGATACAAGCTTCACAAAAAGCTTCGGGGATTACTCGACACACGCTCCGAAGCATCGGCGCAATACGTAACATCACTAGCATCTAGCACTTGTAAAAGTGATTTGTTGGCTAACTTAAGTCACTCTGCTTTCGTCAAGGAAAGCCTCAATTGTGTTTCAAATCTGTCTTTTATATCATGCATATTATGTGGATTGGAGCAGCCATTAGTTCCTGGTATCTCTGTACACTGGCCTTTAAAAAGATTTAATCTGGTGCTGTTTCTGTGTACAAATCTAAAGATTAGCTAAGCTTAAAGGTTTTCAAGTCTGAGTTAAACAAGTTAAAGTTTCCCAAAGTTAGTTTTGTGGACTCTTTATTTCCTAAGACATCTTATGTATTTGGAACAGAGTACAAAAATAGGACAGGAATAAACAGTGACGTTGGAGTGAATTTTATTTAAAAAATGTAAACAGATCTAACAATTGTGAAAAATATCAGTTGTACAACTCCTGAAAAAGTTCTGTTTTATTCAAAATATAATTACAAGCCACTGAAAACACTAACACAAGGCAAAATGATTAAAAAACAACATCAGTTTGTCTACACAACAAAACGTTACACATTTGTATGTCAGTTTGATCCAAAACCCATCTCATTTAAGCAAAATGTCAGCAGTAAAATGTATTTTCTGAAAAGAAAAGAAAAAAAACCCCAATCTTATGTAAAAATACTGAAGATACTACAAATAAAAAGTCCTACATGATTTCAATTTCTAGTATTTTACACAGAGAGGTGTATAACTTCACAAAATAGCTTTTTAAAATATGAATGTATATCTGTTTAACAGTCATATTATACAGTTACTGTCGCTCTCTGTTTATTTTCGAATCATAAATCTAATCGATAGATTTATGATTAGAAAATTATAAAAGTAGGGTAGACATGTGGAGATTATCCGGCTGAACAAAACGTGATCCGTCTCTTAAATGTGTGTCAACCACAGACCTTATTTCGAGCTATTTTCCAAAATCCTATGGAGAAATCTCATTGCATTTTTGTCGAAGGAACCGGAAGAAGTTTACTTCCGGGTTTTAGGACGCGTCACTGCGGACCCTATTTTGATATGTTTTAATACTCCTAATACATTTGAAACGGCAATGCAAATAAACTGCCTAGTCACCATACTAGCTAGTTAGCTTAGCCAGTTAGCTTAGCTAGCTAACGGTAGTTTCTGCTAAGTGAGCTAACTGCTTTTTCACTGATCTGAGGACAAAAAGTCTCTAAAATAACTTCTATTTGGATAATGTGTGTGTGTGTGTGTGTGTGTGTGTGTGTGTGTGTGTGTTTTAAGTACCCTTCACAAAATGCTAAAGCTAGCTCTTTACAGCTTTCTTCTGCTGCGCACATTTGTTTTACTATTTTTTTTTTTACGGGTATATATATATCTATATTTCATCTATATTTCATGTAAATATTGCTGTATTTTAATGTTATAATATTTTTCGTAAAAATCGTTTTTTTATCCTTGTTTTATTTTATGGTCCTTTTCTTACAATTGATCTTCTTTGACTGTGTTTATGTGTGCACCAAATACACCAAGGTGACTTCCTAATATCTCTTAACCTACTTGGTAATACAACGATTTTGATTCTGATCATTGGATGTGCTAAGAGGAAGAGGAAGAAAAGGAGAAGGAGAAAGGAGAGAAGGGCAGGACGGAGGAAGGAGCTTCAGAGGAGGTGAGGAGATGATCTTCCAGGTTTATTTCAACAAACGGGTCACTGGAGCAAACCGCTAAAGAAACAAGAAGGAAACAAGAAGATTTTACATTTAACTTTCCCAAAATATTCATCCAAAGTAAATAGCAGAATCCACTTTGCATATCTAAAGGAGAAAATGTAGCTAACTTCTTCATCCGATTTATTTAGCTAGTAGGCTATTAGCTTACTTTGCTATATCCTTCAGTAAAAATACTACAAGTAAAAGTCCTGCTTTCATCTTTAAGTACAGAAATATTCACAGCAAAATGAACCTAAGATCAATACGTATAACTATGAGTTGTTTCCCTAAAATATTTAGCAGAATACACCAATTGTACATTTCTTGCTAAGCGTTTAAAGCCTATTAGCTTACTGATTTATTTGTTAGCCACTATTATCTTTTAGCAATGTTGTTCAGTAAAAAAAGCCCTGTATTTAGGATCTTATCTTAGTAAAAAGTACACAAATTTGACAGCAAAATGTACTTAAGAAAGTACCATATACTAGAATTATTGTATTTGTACATTCATTTATTTTGCCCTTTGTAAAATGTAAGATCAAGACCAAGTATAACTTTCAGATTTCCAATTTAACATAGCTATATTTTCCCAAATATATTAAATCAAAGATGTTTAGCTAAATACCCTTTTGTACCTTTCATGGTTAAAGTAAAAGGCTTATTATTTAATAACAGTTATTGTTTTTGTACATTTAATTCTGCCCTCAGTTGATCAATAAATTCCAAAAAGTGACACAATGAGCAGCAATTTGATCATTTTGTGATGTTTACAATTAGCATTAGTTTAATTTCCGTATACAAATAGTGATCTCTTTCAAGCCAAATATCCTTGTTTAAGACCTCTTAATAATGCTTTTAGAAGAGTGTGTGCACCAGATCATAGTATTATAATTGTATTCCTCTCATTTCCCAGACTATCTTTTATATCCGTAAATCTGTGGCCCTTTTGCACATATGGACATTTGGAGTTGTATTTTGCATTAGTATAAAGTATCTTACAAGGGTTGTTGTTGTTTTCGTTCTGCTGCTCCTCCCCTATAGTGTCGAAGAAGATGCTGGTGCTTCCCGATGGACTGGAGGTCTTTTCCTCTGGGTCTCCGATCAGCGACAGGTCGGTGTGTCCGGGCGAAGCCTCCAAACCGTTTGCTTCTGACGGTTCCTGTGGAGCTGCGGAAAAAGAGACAGAAAGGTAAGACCAAACCGAGACTTTGTTAACGTGACGATAAGAAATGTTCAGCTTACATTGCGTTTAAGTTATTTGAAGTTCTCCGAGGCAGTGGAGACACTATTTTTATTGTATTTGTTGTTTTGTTTGTTCTCTGACGTACACTAGTCCAACGGAAATGAAATTAACTTAGATTTTAGATCTTAACATATCTTTTGGTCAAAATGAATTGGTCTGGCAACTTTAGACAACAGACATATTACAAAAACAGGCAAGGAGCTAACTTAAAAGCAGCACAAGGAGGAAATAAATGGTTAAAACAATAGAAACCAACAAACGAAAACTGGTCTATTCGTGAAGATGAAGTTTCAACTGGTTTTTGGGTAACTATTTTGTAGTTTTTGGTGGTTGTGATGTAGAAAACTTGAATGCAAAAGCCACTGTTGTAGTTCTAAAATATTGTATTTCCTCTAGTGGCAATCTGAGCAAAGACGGTTGTTGATAGATACATTTGTGTACCTTTTTGATGTGTTTTAATGGAGTTGAGCTTCATACAACTCACATACTATTGAAATACTGCAAGCGGCTGCCCTTAAAATGAACCGAAAGGAACCATTTGGCCAAATTTCAGACAGTTTTAAACAACAAAAGCCCCAGAAAACATAATTTGTCTGTACCGCTCTCTCCATTGGATTCCCGTTCCTCCGTCTGAATTGTTGTGCCGTTGGATACCGGAGGAGGAGGGGGAACGTCTTCAGTGTTTCCTTGGTCTTTAGGGGCTGGTTGATTTGAAAGAACACACACACACACACGT